ACTGGTTCCAACGATGTCGCAGGAGTTGGCAGAACAGCACGAATTACCTCCGGGACTCCAGCTCCGGATTTTTCCTCGAGGTTGACTCCTGAAGCCTTTTCCATCAGTGGATATAGCCACAAGGCAGTGGAGGTTTGAAATCAGAGTTTTCCTTCTCCTAGATGGGCCGCCTTCCAGGGCTGACGAGCCCCACCTGCCCGGCCTGATCTCTAGTAGCACAGAAGTATGATCTGACCTTTAAAAATTTCCTCCCCCCAGGTGTGCGCAATGCTAATTGGCTTTCCTATTTTCCAAATTAGGGTCAAAAATGGAATTAAGGATTTTCGCGCGCCGTTAGGCGCACGCTCCTGCTCCTGCTCCTTCAGAGCAGAAACATCAGCCTCCATCAGCCCATGTGCTCAGAAAAAATAAAGGTCCGCCTAGAAAAAGTTTCCCAACAAAACATCTGCCCAGACATACCAGCCTTAGCTTCGTCAAGTGGGGGGGGGGCTTGGAGCTACTGCTACTGCTCCTTCAAAGCTGAAACAATGCCCTCCATCAGCCCATGTGCTCAGAAAAAATAAAGGTCTGCCTAGAAAAAGTTTCCCAACAAAACATCTGCCCAGACATACCAGCCTTAGCTTCTTCAGGGGGGGGGGCCACCTGCCCGGCCTGATCTCTAGTAGCACAGAAGTATGATCTGACCTTTAAAAGTTTCCTCCCTCCAGGTGTGCGCAATGCTAATTGGCTTTCCTATTTTCCAAATTAGGGTCAAAAATGGAATTAAGGATTTTCGCGCGCCATTAGGTGCACGCTACTGCTCCTGCTCCTTCAAAGCTGAAACAATGCCCTCCATCAACCCATTCAAAGAATGACAGATGTAAGCAACTTGCTCATCACACTTCTTCGTAAATGGGTTCTTCATGCATTTGGGTACTCCATTTTAAAAAATATAATATGGTACAATGTTGTACACGATGACTGAGAAGTAAATATTTAGTCAGTTTGGTCAGTAGCTATACATGTTCCAGCCACAGGTCTTCTACTTTTTGCAGTGAGGCTAGAGCAATTTCCTGGCAGATGGAAGGGTTGTTTTAAGGAAGATTGTTCTCATTACAGCGATCCTTTATGGTGCCATCATGCATGCACCTTTGAAACTGTCTGATTACACCCATAGTCTGCCTTGGTAATCTTTAGAAAGAAAGTTAAAGGTTTAACCATGTTACCCTAGCCTATTAGTATTTTTGGAGCTTCTTGAATACCTCAATCATTTGGTGGGAGGTTTTTTGCTTACTGTCTACATCTCTCTTCTATATTTTCAGTCCTTTTTAATCTAATAAATATATGCAGTCACAGTTCAATATAATGAGTTTGGGAATCCACAATTCCCAAAATTAGAAGAGTTCTTAGAGAAGGGTACTTCTGAAAGATAAGTTATATTACTAAGGGTGAAGCCAAGTAAAGAGAGCAGTTAAGATTGTAGAAAGGGAACAAAGGAAGGAAAATGTAGTTGATAATACTTGGTAGAGAAGGTACAGGACTATTTGAAGAGAAAAGGGGGAAAAGAGAGAGAGAGAGAAAGGAAGGGAAAGGAAAGGAAGATACCAGAGAGCAAACTGGACACAAAGCAACAGGCTGATAGAAACATTGTGTCATATAACTAGCAGTGGTTGGGTTATTTGTAAGGTTTTGTTTGTTTGCATGTTTGCTTATCATTAAATCAATTAATCACTTGTTGTGGGAACTGTAGAGTTTTATGGGTTAGATCACCTTTCCTCCGTGAAGATCCCTCTGGATCTACAACCTACCTACAACTTCCATTATTGGTTTATAATAGGAATTGATGGGAATTTTAGGCCAACCCATCTGAAGGAGCCAGCAGAAAGAAAGCTTGATGAAAAGAATCACTTTGAATTGAGCAAAAATTGTACAAATCTAGTATAAACTCTGAAATATAAATACGATCTAGTCCTTTATGACACATTCCTAATAAGAAATATTTTAGCATAATTTAACTTTTCTTTTTCCAGAAGGAATGAATATTTTAGTAAGGCACATAACCTACTCAATGAGTATGCTTATGTTTTTTTTTTCACTAAAGAATCCTCAGGAGGAAAACTTTTCATTGTTGTTATGAGCTGTCAAGTTACCTCTGTTTTTTGGTGAATGCGCAGTCTTCAAAATGTCCTGTCCTCAAAAGCCCTGCTCAGCTCTTGCAAACTCAAGTAATTTAGGAAGTCCATCCATCTCATATTTGGGCTCCCTCTTTTTCTGCTGCCATCAACCTCTCCCAGAATTAATGTCTTTTCCAGAGAATCCCACCTTCTCCTGATGTACCCAAAGTAGGACAATCTCTCTTCCAACATTTTTGCTTCCAGAGATAGTTCAGGTGTGATTTTATCTAGGACTAAAAGGAATACTTTTAGCATATCGTAAACTATCAGTAGTGATATTCATTCATTCATTCATTCATTCATTCATTCATTCATTCATTCATTCATTTAATATACAGTAAATATATTTATATGTATAATATTTACAGCATAACTCTAAACAATAAAAGGCATTTATATTATTTGAAAATTTCTGAAGCCTTTCTTCTGCTTCAGAAATTTTTAAGAGTACTTATACATAGTAAGTTGAAATTCAGAAGTTGTAATAAATATAAATCTGTATAAACAATGTGTGCAGTTTAACACTTTTTTCGTAATTGGTACATTGAGGTTTTTCCCCCCATAAAAATTCCTAAAAATATACTACTTGGATTTTTGTAGCTAAAAATGTTGCTTGTGTGTTTTATGAACCCTCTAAACTTAAACAGATCTCTTTAGAAAAATAATGTGGACACATTTTGCCTCAAGAATGTTAAAATAGAAATGCTTGCTTGAATTCCCTCTCCTGGCTCAAGTTACTAGGTGGTCCCACACTACCAGAAGTAAAATTTATAAATCTAACCCCTAGTCTAGACATTTTCCAGCAGTGACTGCAGTTCAGAAAATATTAATGTCTAGCCGGCAAAGTGAAATTCCCCCCAGTGATTTTGCAATGACTAGAAAGTTAACCTTTTGCCAGCTGCTGCTTGTATATGCAGAAGTTATTAAAAAGAGCCCAGGCATTTATAAGGAGAGCTTTTAAGATCAAAACACCTTGGCATGACCCTTTGTGTCTCCTTTTGTTTGCTCAGGATTGGCCTCTGTTGCTGGAATGTGTGAGCCTGAAAGGAGCTGTAGCATTAATGAAGATATTGGCCTAGGTTCTGCTTTTACGATAGCACATGAAATTGGTCACAAGTAAGTCCATTTTTAAACTTTTAGAAATTTTAGTTTAATTACCTCTAACTTCATTTATGGATTTATTTTCTTATTTACTATATTTGTTCTATACATAGAATCATCATCATGATGCATTCATTTTTTCTTTCTTTTCAATTTCCTTAATTGGCCTTAAAAGATGCACTGTTCCAGCATATAAAAATTGAAGACTGGATGTGCTAGTTTGTCATAAAACATGGCCTTGTAGACACTACAGCAATAGTACAACAAATACAAAGTTGAAACAGTTCATTTCAAAGTACAAGTTTCATTTCTGAAGCAGAAAATTCTTGCTCACCAATTTTAATATTGTCACCATTAACACTCTTAAATTCCCTTCAAATGCTTCTTTTTTTTTTAATAAGGAGGTTTTCTTCAGGTATGAAAACTGCATGTATTATATGTACATGCGAAACCAAATGTATTTTGTGATTATTTCAATTTATGAGAATCTGTGATGACTAATAATTCTCATAAAAACACATTTAAATGTTCAAATATCTATAATTATAATAGATTGCACACATCTGAACTCACACATTTTAAGGCCCCAGGTTAAAATGTCTGCTAAAACCACTGCAAACAAGTAGCAGTCAGACGCAAACTGAGCACTTATTTCTCAAGAACTTGCATGATTAGATGTATTTTGAACTGACACTTGAAATAGAAAAAATGGAGGAGATAAGTTATCCTTGACAAACAGGTTGTCACCATCAAAAAATCTCTGATGCGGTAAGCTCTATGAGCCACAATACTGTTGAGTATCACAAGCAGAGCTTTCCTGGTTGATTTTAAAACTGAAGTGTGTTGGTACTGGATCAGGAGGCCTAGTGTACCTAGTTGTTTAAGGCTTTGTGTGCTACTGCTAACATTTTCAGTTGTGTCCAATGGCTCATTGACAGCCAAATCAAAAAATGTGTGTAATATGTTCAGTCATTGCTACAGTAGAGACAGCCTTGCCCCATCATCAAATTAACTCCATGTAGAGTGTGTTGCATTACTCCAGTTGGGAAATTATCTGAAAATAGATCACAGTGACAAGTTTATCTAAGTCCAAGTCTGGAAACCATGTATTCGCAGAACCTTAAGGTTTTCAGGATTTAACGTCAGTTTACTGGCCCTTGTCTAATCCTCCAGTGAATTCAGACAGCCACCCATAAGCATCAACAATTTAAAATATGCAGATAACAAAAAGGATCAACAGCTTGAAATGATTGTTGATGAAAGTAAAAGAAGAGAATGTAAAAGTTAGGATGCAGATAAACACTGAGACCAAAATCTTGACTGTAGAAGAACGACGTAACTTTAATGTTGGCAATGAAAAAATTGAAATCATTGAAGATTTTCTATGTGTTGGTTCAGTTTTAATCCAAATGCAAACAGAAGCTAGGAAACCAGAATACTGAGATTTGGAAAGGCAGCTATAAAGGAACAAGAAAAGTTCTGTAAGAGGAAGGACATATTGCTGGAGACAAAGACCAAGATCGTCCACACCAGTGGTTCTCAACCTTTGTTTACTCAGGTGTTTTTGAACTGCAACTCCCAGAAACCCCAGCCAGCACAGCTGGTGCTGAAGGCTTCTGGGAGTTGCAGTCCAAAAACACTTGAGTAACCCAAGGTTAAGAACCACTGATCCACACTATTGTATTCCCGGTTACTATGCAAGGATGTGAAGCTGAACAGAGCAATTAGGAAAAAAATTGATGTGTTTAATATATGACACTGGAGGAGAGCTTTGCGAATACCATGGACTTCCAGAAAGACTAACAAGCTTTTTATAGATTAGATCACTCCTGAACTCTCTCTAGAAACAAAGATGACACAGTTAAGGTTATTATACCTTGGCCACATCATGAGAAGATAAGATTCACTGAAAAATACAATAATGCTTGAAAAAAAAATGAAGGCAGCAGGAAAATAGGAAGATCAGATGTGAGATGGATTGATTCAGTAATGGAAGTCATGACCTTGTGTTTGCAAGAGCTAAGTAGGGCTGTTTTAGGCCTTTTAGAGAACATTTTATAGGACATTTTAGAAATACAGTGGTGCCTCGCTTAGCGAGCGCACCGTATAACGACGAATCCGTATAGCGATCCCCTTTTTCGGGATCGCTATACGGAGCACCCAATCGCCGCACTTG